AGCCAGGTGCAAACACTGCACACAATTTTGTCCCCCCCTAACAAAACAAAAAACAAAGCAACACAAATACTAAGAGTATCTTCTATGCACTGTTGGGTGTGTGCCCCCAAATAAATAAATGAATAAAAAACCACTAACAAATACATCATCTTCTAATACTAATTTTTAAAGAATCAATCCTAAATCACTGTCTCACTGTCTCACTGTCATCCCATTATTCATCGATTTGCTCGAGCGGGCAGCAGTAACGTCTGCATTCATCCTAGCCCTGAGATTTTTAGCAGCCTCTCCTTACTCGTCCTTCCCAACGGTGCTGCATTGAAGGCTCATTCAGGGAATGAGACACATCATTGTTACTGTTTTTGGCATATCGAATATGCTACAGGAGCTTGCCAGGCTCTGCTAGTTTTCTTTTCCTATTGTGTTCTATATCTTTTAAATAATGACATATTTCTGCATATGATCCCTTTTTCTTTATTGCTTGCTTATTTAATGGTATCTTACTCCCTTCCTTCCTTCCTCCATTCCTTCCTCCCTCCCTCCCTTCCTTCCTACCTTACTTCTCTTAATTTTTTGCTTTTATTTAGGCCCCATAATTTGTAACACTGTTCATAATAAAATTTCTGGCACAGGGTGTTCCAGCACCAAACCACTACTAGTCAGTGTCCACGACCCTGTCACACTTAACTCTGTACTAGTTTCATTTAAATGCATCAGAACATTAAAGACCATCAAAATGTGTGACCACTACATCTTTGCCTAAATTATAATCTGAATATTTTTGTAATATTAAAATGAGTTTAATATATTACAAAAAACTGATAATTATTGTTAAATAATAACAATTTCCATATATTTATCATACTTGAATGACTAATTCTCACTCTGGATTTCACTTAAAACTGATCAGCTCTAACACTGTGAAGACAGTCAAAATGAAACAAATGGAAATAAACTGGGACCAAATTTTTTTTAAAAAAAAACACTAAAAAATAAATATGAAAATCTTTTTAGAAACTGTTGTGGCTAGAAGAGTTGATAATAAGAAAATCTGTGAAAGAAAAATATGTACTTGTGTTAAAAATACAAAGAATATTAAGCAAATGGTTATATTGATTTCTGTAGTATGAAACAAGAAACCAATGTCAGTCATACAACTTTAATCGACAGCTTGGGTCTGAAAGGTGATTCAATAAGCTGGAGCATGCGGTCAGAGAGATAGTACAGAGGCTAAGGTGCTTGCCTTGCAGATGGACAACTACTGCCTGCCAGCTGTGTTCCCTGAGCAAAGTGCCAGGCATAAACTCTGAGCACTGTCATATATGGCCCCCAAACTAGAACTAAAACAAACAAAGATAACCACATATGAAATACTGAGAATAATAACTTAACTGCTTGCCCCTACCTAAACTTTTGAATTTGTTCTGCCTGTCCAACACCATTTAAAATAACTGTAATGGGAGAGATAGACAAAGGTCAAGGTTCTTGCCTTGTATAAAGCCAACCAACTTAACTTTGATACCTGTTACCAAATAAAGTTCCCCAAGCAGGAGTTATTGCTGAACACAGAGCCAGGACCGAGTACTGAATACAGACATAGCATAATATACCCCACCAAAAATAAATAAATAAATAAATAAATGCATACTAAAACCGCTACATAATCATCCTTTCTTAAGTAATATGCAAAAACTAATATGGCCAGCAGATTGCTAGTGACATCTAAAACTTCCTATTCCTATGTAATAATGTCCTATATAAACTCATCACCTATGTGTGGGCACAATGCGTATAGTGGTCAACCACTCAGATTATAGTATTCATATGAGGGATAAATGGTAATTCTCGAAATTAGGATATATTATATGAGTTTCTTTTGGTCAACTAGACTGAAAATTTTTTCTGCTGGTATTGAAAAAGTATGAGGATGGGTCAAATGACAAGGAACTCCAGGTGTCTTCTAAGAAAAAAGAATGGTGGTTGGGAAATACATAAATAAGTGCAAGTTTAGGGGCCAGAGAGATACTACAGCAGGTAGGGTGCTTGCCTTGCACATGGCCAACCTGGATTCAGTGCCCAATATTACATAGGGCCCCTAAGATCAGCTTGCAGTCATCCCTGAGTGCAGAATTAAGAGCTAATCTTGAGCGCCAAGAGCAAAAACCAAAAAGATTAAGAGCAAACCCTGAATCCCAAAGCAAAAGCAAAAAAAACAAAATGCAAATTTGAGTCCTACACCTTCAAGGAAGCAAATCTGTCACCAACTACAAGATCTTGAAGATGTTACAATCCAGGTAAAATTTGATTTTAGCCTTCAGAGACTGAACTATGAGGCCAGCTAAAGAGTACCGGGACACCATCCAATCCCACAGAAACTGTGAAACAAGATACAAGTTTTAAGCTTGTTGATTTTTAATAGTTATTTTTCAACATATAAAACTAATACAAATACTAAATTCACTCTTTTCTAACAGAAAATTCATTTGCTAAATAATGAAAGCAACGTAATTCTGCAGTTCAAGGCATTTAGATCTTTCCCAGGTCTCCAAAGTCCTCTTCCAAAAGAAAAAAAGGACTCAATTTCTGAACTTTAAATGGTTTTTACTTATTATTGCCTTTGTCATCATTCAACTACTTCTTAATCTCTTCTATTCCAATTATTCTATTTCTTTAGAAAAATTATTTCTTTTCTAGAATTGACGAACTGATGTCGTGGCTTATCATTGTTAAACGTGTTTCTTTTCCTTTTATAAATTATGAATAAGTTTCTGAATTTATACTATCCTGGTCTGCACTAGTTTCATCTGTTTGAGCTCTGTTTACATTGATACTCCCTAGACATCTGCTGTCATTTAAATAATGGCATTTTCAACTTACTTGATTAATTGAGAGAAGAAAAATGAATGAAGGAAGAAGAAATAAGTGGGAGAAGAAGGAAGGGGACAGTGAGGACGGAGTAGGGGATAGGGAATGGCTAGCATGGATGTGTTGGGAAGAGAGAGAGAGAGAGAGAGAGAGAGAGAGAGAGAGAGGTGGACAGAGAGAGATAGATTTGAGAATCCTCAGGAACAGTACTCTAGAACTCACTAATTCAACTTATTCTTACCTTCTCTTTTGCTCCAGGATCTATTTTTAAAATAATTTTTATTATTATTATTATTTTTTCTTTTTAGGTCACACCCAGTGTTACTCCTAATTCATGCACTCAGGAATTGCTCCTGGCCATGCTCAAGGGACCATATGGGATGTTGGGAATTGAACCCGGGTTGGGTCACATGCAAGGCAAATGCCCTTCTTGCTGTGCTATCACTTCAGCCCCAATTTTTAAAAATAATTTTAAATGGAAATTAAAAGAGCTGTAACAAAAATTCTGAATATTTTTACTGTTCTTATAAAAAACTCCTCAGCTCTCTCTTGCTATTAAGAATAACAATAAAGATTGTTATTCTTCCAAATTATGAAGAAATAAAATTTGAACTGCTTTGTAAATTCTTTTTTATCAAAAACATCCAATAAAATACTAAGTTATATAAACACTCCTGCTGATCGGTCTCTCACATCATTTCCATATTGTTTTTCTCTGCTATTATAAGAACACCGCTGCATGGTCTTACAAAGACTTCTGTAACAAAATCCTTTAATTTCTGCCTTTCAGCTTTCTACTTAAATAAATGCTAAATATTACTCTTGTTATTCAATCAAGTCCTGTTCAAACTTTTTCAAGTTTCCATGGTGTTTATAAAAATAATAATGAACTTACTGGTATTAAAATTCTTCTCCAATTTGCCTCAACATTATTAGCTGTTGTTCCCTTATCAACCAGATTAATGTCAGCAAAATGAGTCCCTGGGTATCTACCTCTTAGGTTTCTGAATGAATGTATTTTCTTGCTTATAATAATTTACAAATTCTCATTCCATCAGATAAAATTTATCAAAGATCCAAGTAGTTTTCACTAAATATGTCACTGCCCTTATTATCATATGGACATGCTTCCTTAATTACATGCCCCAATTTTTTTCAAAAATATATTTTCAATCAAATTTTATCTTTAGATAATCACTTGAGAAAAATATTTAATGTCATGTATATAAAGGAAAGTTATATTTTGTTGTAATTTTGCTAATAACAATGCACCTCTATGGTGAATAATTAACTTTCATATACAACCAGGGATGACTAATAATTAAAATATGATAATTAAAAAATTCTGCATATAAGAATACTGAGGTAATCCAACCAGAAGCTTTCTGTAGAGGCAAATGGAGTAAGCATTTCAAATATCAGTGCCTTATTTGTACCAGAATATTAACTAGTATAAAAAATATCAGAAATTATTTTCACTAGTAAATATGAATTTTTTGTATGTAGTGAAAAAAATATTTGAGTCAATTATGCTTTTAGATAAAAGGAAAGCATGTAGTTAATTACAGAAATACCTAAATCTCTGTTTTATCTGCGTTCCATCTAATTGTAGTATTTCACCATCAGACCAAAATTAATATTACAGATTCTGACATCAGAATACAGTTTAATATGTTTCCACGTGAAACTATGATATAAGTGTTTTAAAATGTGCCTAAAATAATTAAGGTTTGTTAGGACAGGTTATACAACTGATCTTCAGGCACGGCTGTTAGTAAATATATGTGTGGCTGCATTCAGTTGAGATTTTCTTTCTTTAAACTGCATCACTAGTTGTACAGTCTTGGGGAAGACACACAACTTTAGCTTACTCACAATTACTTTCCACAACATCTTCACCACTGTATATAGTAATTCTCTTTGTATCAATTTACATGTGTGTTTTCATATGTATGTTCAATGTATATATCTTCTAGCTGAAAAGACTTTAAAACTTCAGAGATTATTTTTCTGACTCAAGAAAACTGAATCAGCACACACAAGTAGTTTTTCTCTATTCAAAGGAAATGCTATGATCTTCAAGCAGACTATTATTATGTTAATTTTATTGATAGCAATATATAAAAACATCTTACCTCCAAATGATAGCCAACCCTGATAAAGGCACAGTGTGGGTCAAAAGCTCCAGTACCACAGGTCAGGAGGTGAGTCCTGTTATAGTGATGCAAGACTCTAACATAATTTGCACATTCACTCTAAATCAGGACAGAGGAAGGGGAGAGAAAAATGGTTACTGTGTGATAACCTAATTAGAATGATTTTGATTTTTACTTTTTCTCATTCCATAACTTTCATGATTGAATCTTCATTTATGAGAGGAACCCAGAAAAACAGATGAAAAGAGGAGAACCAGCAGAAAACACTGGGGAAACAGGCAGTGCTGATTACAATTTCTAGTACACAATGGAGGCTCAGAAAAAAAGCACTCTTCAAGAATACATTAAAATAAATAGACTTTCATAACAATATATTTATCTAAGGAATTAAGTTATTCCCAATATGATTATTGTTAAATACAAGGAAAAATAATGATTTAGCATAAAGTCTGAGAGCCAGTTAATAGGAAAAGCTTCATTACCCAGAAGGAAACAAAAAATTCTGACATAATAGAGCTCGTTGTTTAAGAATTATGCTATATCTTCAAAGTCATAAATTCAGAGTAAACAGTTGTATAGATAATGTTCATGTCAACATATAGAAACTACCAAAAATAATGTGTGTATGTGTGTAGAACCAAGATCAGATCTATTTATCATGTAAGACATGTATTCTACAACTGAACTACATTCTGGTACTGTACCTAATACTATAATACTGTAATGGAGAAATCAGTAAACATTTTCTAATGTTTCTAATATTCTACTAAAGGACCAAAATGTAAAAGTATTTTCTTCTTGTATTTGATAGATCACTCAGTCCCTGTTGCAGCTATTTTCTTCTGAAACTATAGCATAGAAACAGCCACAGAAAACAATAAAAATATCTGTAATTATGTACTGATAACTCTTCCTTCACATTCGTCCCCCCAAAAAAGAGCAAGCCACATTTGGCGAAACGTGTCTCATGTGCTTATGCTGATATTCACTGTATGCTTTTTAAAAGACAGAATCTTTGTTTTATCCATCTCTGTATTCCTCTGTTGAGCAAACAGTACCTGAAACATTATGTGCTTTACACAGCTGTATTCTACTGCTATGCTATATTTGGCACATTTGTAATATAAAAATCAATTAAGCTAAAGTTTTAACATATTAATCACTTCCTGAGTTTTATTTTGATTATGCCAAATCAAAAAAGAGCTCTAAATTATGGCAAAGCAACTTAATTATTTTATTCTAGCAAACATGTTGGCAAATTTCATATTTCTAGTTTGTCAAAAAAATGAAAAAATGTGAAGTTCTATTTGTATATTGAAACCAAAAAGCTTAATAAAAATGCATGCAAAATTCAAATTATCAAATGGTTTGGAAGTACAGACCTTTAAGTTTAACAGTGACAGTATTATAATTAACACATGTAACATCAATGACTAAAGTATAAAATATAATTCATACAATAAAATCATCAGAATAAAAGGCCAGTATAACCATCTCACCTTTAATGATTCAAAGTATAATGTTTCCTTGGTAAGAAGTAGTAATGCATTCCTAAACTTATTATCTAAGACACACACATATATATTTACTTCTTTAATTTTGCCCTCATGTTGCATTTTATCCTGTGCATGACTAATGTAGTTAAGAAATTTAATCACTTAAGCATGGAAAAATAGTTTATTTCTCACATTGCTATATGCACCAGCTTTTTATGTCCTGAAATTGTCACATCTAGGGTGAGCCAATTACACCACACGTTGGCTCCCATGGGCTTTATGTGATACAGTCTAAGAGTGTGTTCAATTAGTCAACATCTTGCTGTGGACTAAAGAAGCAAGAATGTCTTGACTCATTTCTTGGCTATGACCCAGTTGCTACAGAAAATCAAGAATTGGTATAATGTATGTTAAACTTTGTACTGCATTATTTTTTTTCCTGATAGCCAAGGAGAAACTAACATTCACAAGATGGAAAAGAAAAGACATAGAATGACTTCACTCATTTGTGAGATTAAAAACAAAAACAGAAACATAGTATGAGACTAACACCCAAGGACAGTACAAACAAGGGCCAGGACAAATAGTCTGTGGTTGGAAGCCTGTATCAAGGGCTGGGGGAGAGGGCAGTTGGGATAAAGAAGGAACCATAATACCATAATGACAAAGATGGTTGGATAGGATCTCTCTGGATGAGAGATGTGAGTTAGGAGTGGATAAAAGGACCAAACATAATGGCCTAATGGCCTTTCAGTATCTGTACTGCAAACTATAATGCCCAAAACGGTGGGAGGGGTCGAGGGAGGGGGAGGGAAGGTGAGGAAGGGAAAGAGAGAGAGAGAAGAGAGGGAGGAAAAAGAGAGAGAGGAAAGAGAGAGAGAGAGAGAGAGAGAGAGAGAGAGAGAGAGAGAGAGAAGTGCCTACCATAGAGGCAGGTGGGGGGGGGGGTTGTTGCTGGAGGGATTTGGGGATAATGGTGGTGGAAAATATACACTGGTAGAGGGATGGATGTTGGAACATTTTATGACTGAAACTTATCACAAAAATTTTGTAACTATATCTCATATGATTCAATTAAAATTTTTTTCGGGGCTGGAGTGATAGCACAGCGGGTAGGGCGTTTGTCTTGCACGCAGTCGACCCGGGTTTGATTCCCAGCATCCCATATGGTCCCCCGAGGATTAACTCCTGAGTGCATGAACCAAGAGTAACCCCTGTGCATCACTGGGTGTGACCCAAAAAAGCAAAAAAAAAAACATTTTAAAAAGATGTGCATTTCCTACTCAAGAGACATGTATGGTATCGTCAGCAAGCTACAACTGGCATGTGGCAGCATTTCGTTCATGTTTAAGTGTGCGAGGAACCTTGTTAAAGCTGTTCCTGCAACACAAACTTATTTACTCAGACAGTGCAGGGCATTGTATAAGAAAAAAAGGAAAGAAAAGAAAAGGAAAGGAAATTAAAGAAAAAAAATATTGACTCTAAATATGAGAGACCTTGAAATCATTGCAGGATACAGAAAACATGTATATCGCCTTCTATCTTTTGTTTTCCCCATTTTGCTTCTTTATTAATATTTTATTGAGGCAAAATTAAATTTTGGAAGATACGTGCTTATATTTTTCTTAAATTAAAACATAAAACTACCTGAGGGGGCCAACGTTATAGTACAGCAGGGAGAGTTTTGTTTTACATGTGGCCAACCCGGGTTCAATCCCAGCAGCCCATATAGTATCCTAATCACCACCAGGAGTAATTCCTGAGTTTCGAGCCAGGAGTAATCCCTGAGCATTGCCAGGTGTAGTCCACAACAAAAAACAAAACACAATACTACCTAAATTATTTTTTTCCCAAATATGTAGAAATAAATGTTAGAATAAGAATTTATAAATCTGGAGCTGGAGTGATAGTACAGTGGGTAGGGCATTTGCCTTGCATACGTCAAACCTGGGTTTGATTCCCAGCATCCCATATTGTCCCCTGAGCACCACCAGAACTAATTCCTGAGTGCAGAGCCAGGAGTAACCCCTGTGCATTTCAGGGTGTGACCCAAAAAGAAAAAAAAAAGAATTTCTAAATCTGACTTGATTAAAATGTAATAAATCACATCAACTGTATTTGAGTCTATATTAAAATCAATTTAAATATTTACATGCATATATGTACATACTGGATATAAACAGACAAATTTTTATGAGCTAAATTCCATCTGTACTTTTTAAGCTTAAATAAAGGAATTTTAGTCCTTTGTGATTAACCAAGAACATAAATCATAAGTTGTTTCATTTATAAGGAGTAATACTCACTGCATCTTTTCCTTTCATTATGCATTCTTCAATTTTTAGTGCTGTGGTAGGCCAGTGTATCTGAAATAAAAGATAACATACTTTAATATGATGCATAAAAAATTACAATGAAAAAACATTTTTCCTCAATTCTAAATATTTTCATTTTGTTTAATTTGGGGGGAAGATAAAGCAAAACTTTATCTTCTTTAATATCATTACTTGCCTAATTAAGACAACTATTTTTGAGGTCTACTTCATGGTTTACTACTTTTTTAAAAATCCCTAAGAGGGTTAGAGAAGTAGTACAGCACATAAGGAATTTACCTTGGATATGGCCAAGCTAGGTTCAATTCCTGGCACTCCATATGGTTCCTGAGCCTTGCCAGGAGTTATTCCTGAGTCCTGAATCAGAACTAAGTCCTGAGGAGGCAGGTGTGATCCAAAACTAACCAAAAATGACATTGAAGGCTCCCATCAAGCCTCAGAGCCTTAGAAACTGCCCAGCCTTAAAAATCCTCTGTCCTGTACATAATCTGTTGTCTAGTATTCCTCCTAGTCTGAAGCTCTGCTCTTCCACTGCCGGCACCAACTGGAGCCCCTATACTTTTACCTCTCAGCACAGAGCTTGGTGAGTGAGGATTCAGTAATACAACATTTCCTATTGGGGAAAGATTTGTCCTGTGAAAGGATTATGGGACAAATGACATCAAGTATTTATCTAAAATATACCACCTATTAATATGCCACATAAGCCTTTATTTCTTAAAATGTTTACCTCCACCAGTTTCCTATCAAATTTCAGAAATTTTTTTATTATGCTTTCAAGTCTGTTTGAATTCTTCTCTGAAAAGAGATACAGCATTAAACAATCCTCAATAATAATTTACTGTGCTGAGAACAAAGGGAGAAATCAATCAATTACTAAGCCCATAATTTTTTCAACATAAAGTATATATTTTTAATGAAAGAATTTTCTCTCTTGCTTTTATTTTATCATATTGCTGTTCTCTTTCTTGTGAAAATAATAGATTTAATCATATGTGTCAGAATGTGATAATAGACTTTATTTTAGCTTTTTTTCCTTTCAGTTGCTTTATAAAGTCATCAGCAGAGGCTTACATTAGTTATACTGTTCAACTCATGGCTCATTACAATCATTGATCTAGAAAGGTCCCTCTCTTGTATTCAAAATATATATTTCCCCCCTCACCCCTGTGCTATCCATCCAAAAGACAGTCATCACAATTTCAATGTTCTTATTTGTCTACATGTACTTATGTCATGTATATATTGTTGTTTCTTAGTGCAAATAGCACAGCGGGTAGCCTTGCATGCGGCAGAGCTGGGTTCGATTCCTCTGTCCCTCTCAGAGAACCCAGCAAGCTACTGAGAGTATCCCGCCAGCACAGCAGAGCCTGCCAAGCTCCCCATGGCATATTCGATATGCCCCAAACAGTAACAACAAGTCTCACAATGGAGACATTATTGGTGCCTGCTTGAGCAAATCAATGAAAAACAGGAGGACAGTGCTACAGGGCTAGAGTGCACATTTAAATATTTCTCTAAATGGTATTTTAATAATTTACATGAAGCTTTTCCCTTATTTTTTTATAAAAGTTTTTAAGATCCCATACATGGCATGCATACATAAATAATTGCTTTGTAAAATTTAGGGTAAGGCCTCTTACACTTTATCTTTTCACCACTGTCAGTTATCAAGGCTTCCGCCAAATTTCTACCAGATCAAACACTGGCACATTTTTTATATGTCATCTTAGGAGTGGATAAAAATATCATTAATGTATAATAGAAGTAGATTTACTCCATATGCATATAATCTGTTAATGTAGTACATTAGAATATAATAGGTTAATACTCTACCTGCAGTACTATATATATCCTCATTCCCTCACTTGTTCATTATTTTTATATGAATTTTTATATAAATTAGTTTGGTTTCAATAATTCTCACTGTCACTGTCCTCCCATTGTTCATCAATATGCTCCAGCGGATCCAGTAACATTGTGAGACTTGTTACTGTGTTTGGCATATCGAATACGTCACGGATAGCTTTCCAGGCTTTGCCGTGCGGGCAGGATACTCTCAGTAGCTTGCCAGGCTCAAGATTCAATTTAGTCCTGATTGCAAATCAATCAAATATAATAATAGCTAGGGTGCTTCTTTTTAAGAGCTCATACTTCTTTGCTCAGCCCTACAAGACTGTAGATCTAAGGTCTGTGATCCATTTGAGTAACCAAAGCAACTAGAAAGGTTCCAAAAGCTGCCTGTGCCTCATAATCTTAAACTCTATAGTAATAGTTTATCCGCACATCTGCTGGATCAATCATCTTCTCCTAAAAATCTTGGAAAATATACTGTTAACAGTATCAGATTAGTAATTAGATATTATCTCTTTACTCTCCAATCTCTTTGGCCAGAGGGAGTAACACTAAGTTACACATCTCCATGATCAATTTCTACTTTCAAGTTACCACTTTGGAAACTTCACTGGAGAGTAGCCTAGGTCTTTCAAGATGGTAGTTGGTAGTACTATTTCTATAAATACTCCCTCCTCCAACCCTCTGCACACACACCCTGAAGCTTAAGAGTTCTCAGATTCTGGATTAGGGAAAAAAGATGCAGTTTCCTACAACTAGAGTAATTATTTACTATCATTAAACTTCATTGCCAGCCTATGCCTGTAAACCAGACTCATTCTACCTGACTCTACTATTATCTATTAATTCAAGAGAGTTAAATTTAACATATTATGTAGTCAAGTCCATATCCCAATATTTTAATAACATTAGACATTTTTAAAAAGTTACAACAGTAGCATTTTATTATGATCATATTTCACTGTCATTATCCTCCCGTTGTTCACTGATTTTGCTCAAGCGGGCCCAGTAACATTTTGAGACTTGTTACTGTTTTGCATATCAGATACGTCACGGGGAGCTTGCCAGGCTTTGGCGTGCAGGCGAGATACTCCCGGTAGCTTGCCGGGCTCTCTGAGAGGGGCAGAGGAATCGAACTCGGGTCTGCCATGTCGGCTGCGTGCAAGGCAAACGCTCTACCTGCTATGCCATCACTACAGCCATGATCATATTTATATGACAAATTATTATCATAGGTATAAGCACTCTGTTACTTGAACTGTATGCAATACCATTCCTAAGAATTAGTGTGATGCTCCCCAATTTATTTTTCAATACTTACCATAAGATATTGTTTTACTTTCATAGTACAGCATATAAACTCTTACATGAAGGCACATAAGCTTATTTTTTCATGTGTTTACAAATAAAAAGACAAAGTTAAAAGAGGGAATATATATAAAAACTAAAGATACAGTCAAAATAATTACCCATATAACATTTGGATTAATGTTCTTGATTATAGTTATGATTAGATCAATAGGTTATGTGTAACTCAGGAAAGGTATCTTATAAATGCATCAACATAAGGAGTGTTATTAACACCAATATAGAGTACAGAAACTGAAACATGGCATATATAATATATATGCAAATTAATTTTAGGACTCTATTGTTGGTAAGGATTTTATTCCTGCTACTTGAATAAATTAAAGCAATTTCCTCTTTAATTCATAACAATTTTTAAGAATAATAATTCTTAACACATTCAATTTTTTTCATTTTTTAATTAAAAACTGGTATTTACAAAGTTATTGATAGTGCATTTTAGGCACATGATTCTTTCAACACCAATCCCACCACCAATGTCAATTTCCTCCCACCAGTGTTCCTATGTTCCTGTTCTACCCCCCATACCCTGTCTCATTCCCTTTAATGTGCTTGTCATTTTAACTTGACAGGCACATCACAAAGTCTCAATGTTTGCATCTTAGATATCAGGTTTCCAGTTTTGTTAAGTCTGTGTTTTGGATACATGGCTATACCACTCACCCATGTCACCAGTATAACTTGAAGCCCTGATGCCTGTTCATCCATTACTTCTCATTTTCTTCTTTCCCCCTCTTAATTTCATTCCTTCTCTATTCTTCTCCTCTATGAAAACTGGAGTGAAGGGCGATCTAGACATTCCCCTTTTACTACAGCACATTTACTCATCCAGCTATTATGTACACCACACATAAGTGAGAAATGTGTAAATTAAATTACACATTTAATTCATTCATTTCATTTCATTTCATCATCCTGTTAATCGTCGATTGCCTCGAGCAGGCCCCAGTAACGTCTCTTTCATCCTAGCCCTGAGATTATATTCACGGCTCTTTAGGAGAATGAGACCCATCATTGTTACTGGTATTTGGCATATTTGGTAGGCCACGGGGAGTTTGCCAGACTCTGCCCTGTGGGCAGGCTACATTCGAAAGCCTGCAAGTTTGTCCAAAGTAGGAATGAGATAATTCATTAGATGCAGGGAAATTTCTAGAATATCAGTACCACTTACTTTGATTTTTTATCATAAAAATGATGATTTTTAAACCATGTTTCTACAACTTCAAAGTGCTAGAAAATATAATCCATTTTTTTAGGCAAGTATACTAAGTCCAGATCTTCAATGCTGAAATAGTACTCAAGTCAGTAAAACAACCTGAACATATCTTGCATACCCCTAATGTTTATTAATGATTATTTCCAGAAATACCTGAATACGTCTGAGCCGGGTTCGATTCCTCTGTCCCCTCAGAGAGTCCATCAAGCTACTGAGAGTATCTCACCCACACGGCAAAGTCTGGCAAGCTACCCATGACATATTCAATATGCCAAACACAGTAACAACAAGTCTCAAAATGGAGATGTTACTGGGCCTGCTTGAGCAAATCGATAAAACTATTTGGGAGAGTAATTCACTACAGCACATCTATTTACAGTCTGACCCCAGTGGGACTTGAGAAACAAAATGTTAAAGGGACAGGAAACTTCAATTTGCCACTATGCTCTAAATAATAGCTTCTTTTGTCAGATCCAGTAGTTTCAAATCAACTTCAATATTTATAAACTGTGGCAGTATTTAAATAAACGTTCTTGTAAAATCCCTTTAAGTAAAATCACTGTTCCTATAAAAAAGAGAGGTAAAATCTTTCATC